TTCAAAATGCATGCTTTTTTTCTTTTCTTCTTTTTTTTTTTTTTTAACTTACTGCTTTGTAAGTTCTCTTTTGTCCAGCATGTTTCCGAATTTGTTCTCCATTTGGCCCTGTTTCCACATGCATCGAATAGATAATGTCAAAGAAATCTTCGACTACAGCTACTCGCCGTAAAGACAGCTTCTCATCTACCCCTACGCCATCCTAGAAACAAAACAAAACATAAAATCAATAAAGTAATTTGCATTTAACACACAAATTTCGTGAAAGCAAAATGTTTTGATAACCTGAAACATTATCTAGATAGAAAACTTCAAAAGTTCATAAATGAATATCTCACCATTTTATGTATTACTTACATATAGAACTTTAAGGAACATGAGGAACATTTGACATAGATAATATTGAGTAAATCATGCTTACTTGTCAATTCCATCTTTTACGTTTTTATAATGGCTTACTTTTAGCCATCAGTATAACATTCTTAAGTTATTTTAAAACACATTTTAAGCCCCAGTATTATTGTAATAATTTTATTCTAGATGTTTAGTCATTCATGCAACCAATATTTATTGAGTTGCTGTGTCTTAGAAGTTGTAATTAGAGAAATGAAAAAAAATAATACAGAGTCTTTATGCTCAAACATCGTATAACCTAGGAAAGGAAATGCATCTCTTATGTTATCAGTATTGAACAGAGGGACAATATGTTTTAAAGGTTAAAAATGTGAGCTCTAGGAATGATGTGTGAAATTATGTGTGAAATGGGGTCTTCTACTCAAAACAGCATACTTTGTGCAAATCACTTAAACTTCTCCAAATTTCAGTTTTCTCAACTACAAAATAGCAATAATAGAGCCCAGTTCACAGAATTGTTGTGAGAATTAAATAAAATAATGTATGTAGAGGATGTAATCCAAGGTTTGGCAAACAGTGAACTCTCAGTAAACGGTGGGTCATTTTAATGATAATGATAAAAAATATGCAAAGTACTATGGGAATTCAGAGAATAAAGATATCACCTCCTGCTTAAGTAGCTTCTTGGAAGAAATATAATTTGACATAGGCGGGAGCTGAATCAGGGAAAAAGCCATGGTGGTGGAAACTATAACAGAGAATTTTCATGGATGATAGACAGGAATAGGAAGTAAGTTTGGAATGAGACAATAAAGAAAGTTAACCTTACCTGGCTGCAACATGAAAGGGATTCCTGCTTGAAAACACGTGCGCACGCACACACACCCACACACACACACACACACACACACACACATGCACGCACACACACACATACACAGTGTTCTTATTTGGGCTCTGAGACATATCTGAAGCAAAATGACACAGCCATTAATGTTGATATACAGCACAAGAGACTGATTAATCTGAGCAAAATCATTACGTAGTGAAATCGCAGGAGCCTCTTTGAACAGCAACCCCAGCTGACTGCAAAACCAAAAGCAAGTCACCCAGTGCTTCTTGTTTGGCTTTTATTTGTTTTTCTGATTCACAGTGGGCCTTGTACGTAGTGGTGGCTATAGTAACATACTGAAATAATTATATATAGGAAATCCCATGATAGGCCAAGCAGCCAGGCATCTCACTGATGTTCAATTTGAAGTGCTCCCTTGCAAATTATCTGTGATGCATGTTGTTCCTCTTTAGGCTTTGGACCTTCCTTACATCTCTCCTTAAATATCTCAACTCATCTCTTCTATACTGGGTACCATGAATAATGTGTCATTGCCTTGTGTGCAAGACCAATATATAGCGAGAATACAGACGCATGCAGCAAAGCAGTGACCAGCCTGGGAAAATGTTGCAGCTTAGAGGACAGTGCCTGGGAAAGCACAGTTTTAGATGCTTCCTATCCCTTATATCCTCTGAGAATATCCACTTTTCCTATACTGGAAACCCAAATTTTAATTCTATCCACCAGTAAAAACACTCATACGACTTTGTCTTCTTTCTACCCCACCATAAAATTTGTACTGTCTCCTCTCAGTTCTTTCACTGAATAACCAGAAATATAGTAATTGTGTACAGTTAGTCTGTATTTTATTGGTTCATGTGAATAAATATATATTTATTCCCTGATTCATTCATTTGTTCATTCATTCATCCAGCTAAACACTAGAGGGATACATGAATCACGACCTATTTATTCATTTTATAAACAAGTATTCAACAAGGCCCAAATATTGCCAAGCCCTCTGCTAGTTGCTGGAGTTATCAAAGTGAATAAGACAGATAATCAAGCTCTTTATGGAGCTTACACTCCAGTGCAGAAAATAGATATTGAACAAATGATTGCTAGAGTGGCATATGAAATTCTATACTTGATCTTAGCCAAAAGGCTGAGAAGCATTCACATGAATTTCTTATGGCTTCTGTAACAAATTGCCACAAAATGAGTGGCTTAAAAAAAGAGAAATTTATTCTCTCATAGTCCTGGAGGCTATGAGTCCAAAATCAAGATGTCAGGAGAGCTGCACTCCCTCTGGAAGCTCTAGAAGTATATCCATTCTTTGCCTCTCCCAGCTTCTGGTGGGTGCCAGCATTTCATGACTTGAGGCTGCATCACATTGCTTTCTTCTCTTTTATGTATATCTCCTCTGTGAGCCTCTCTTTTATAAGGACCCATATTATGGCATTTAGGGCTTAGTCAGATAAACTAAGGTAATCTTCTCAAGATCCTTAACTTAATTATATCTACAAAGATCCTTATTCCAAACAAGGTAACATTTATAAGATCCAGGAATTAGGACTTGGTATACTTGGGTGGCCATTATTCAACCAACTATAAGTGGCATGTATTAGAGCACAGGAGGCATAAATTGTGCTATGGGAGCATATATTTGAAATGCTTCACAATCATTGCTTAACAGTCAACATTCTTTCAAGAAATCAGAAGTTAAGTGCTTATCAAAATAATATTTAAACCACATATATTGGGGAAGGGAAATGCTCTATTACCCTTCTATTATATGAACCTGCTTACTCTTAACTATGATTCAAACTCAATGCACACCTACACTCTATGATTAAAATTCAAAAATAGCTTTGGAGATT